ACCTTAGTCCAATTTTTCCCACCCGAGAGTCACCAGTAGCGAGCGACATTTCGTCCATCAAATTTACGATGAAAATAGACAAAGTAAGTAAATCTGCTTCATTTCTTTATTAGTCAAGTAGCCCTTTTATTTTTTTTTACAGACAAAATGCGTCAATTGTGTTGGCAAATTCCAAAATCACATTGACTTCGTTAAGAAACAATATATAAAATCAATATCATTTCCTTTTAATGTTTATTTTAGAAATATATATGCATATCCCTTTAACATACCAAACTTACTAACTTTTGATAATATGAACACGATATGTTAACATTAGCACAATCAGACATATTATATCTCGGGATATACCTCAAGTACATTTAACATAATAAAAAACGTTTTAAATAATGATAAACTTTTAAGCATTTTAGATAAACTTTTGTCTGTCAAAAGTCTGAACACTTAGCGTTTCAATAACGTGGTTCCAGTATTGTTTTACAAACACAAAGTCTGAACACTAGCGTTTCAATAACGTGGTTCCAGTATTGTTTTACAAACAGCAAGGTAAGAAACAAAAGCCATGACAAAGGTTTTATTCATTTTTATTTATTTTTACACAATAATTTGAAACATAATTTGAATAGTTTTAACTGAGTTGTCGTTTGAATTGTTTTACATTTTTCAGTACGGGACCTTTTAAAGCTCATTATGTGCATGGGTTTTGCTCGTTGTTTAAGGCCGTACGGTAAAATATACTTGCTAACTTCTACATCATTTGGTCTCTGATGGAGAGTTGTCTCATTAACAATCATACCACATCTTATTATTATATTATCATAATGTATCGGATTCCGTAGCTGTGATAAAGCTGAAAGTGGCTCGGTTGGTGCTTTTGGGGAATTCGAATATACAAAGTTTCTTTGATTTCTAATCTTTAAATACGACATACTTTGTCATTATTACTGGTCAAGATGAGCATGTTTGACCTCTTTCGTCATTATTTGGAGAGATGTGCATCTCCTGCATTAAAAGTGGTACCGTACAATGGTAATAATGCATTCAAGGACAAATTTTCAGTCAGTTTCATAGATTTTGACTACAAATTACAATCCTTACAGTCAGGATTCTACTTCGTCAAAATTATCTCCCCATTACGCCAGTTCATTTTTACAATCGTAAAAATGGAAGCCATTGTAGGGATGACGCACTTCCAATTTAGCTCTTGAAAACCGATAAATTTATCCACATAGCACCATTACGATCCTTATATGCCAGGTGTATTTTAAAAGACAAATGTATCTACTATAGCTAATGAGCATCAGTGAATGAACTTGTCTGCATTCAGTCAACTTAAAACTATTGTCGGATCGGTTGTCAGGTGGAATTTTCGGAAATTCATAAACATTAAAAAAATTCTAATTAAACATTTCGTGGAAGGGCAGACTAAAAATTTTCAGTGGTTCAAGACTATAAACCCTAAATATCACACACAAAAAATGAAGTTTTTTCGAAGATATGCATTTTGAAGATCCAACTTAAAAGTCAGTCGTCAAGTACTTTTAGTAAAAATTTGCTATTCGAACACACCTACTCAGTTTTTGTGATTCATTAGAAAGGTATTTCACTTGACCCATATATTTAATTTTTTAGTACTGTGAACTTTCGATGTTATAAAGTCAACCTGTAGCCTTGATATATAAAAATAATAGAATCTGAAGCGAGATGATGTATCAAATACTCTTGCTTTATACGTTTTCAAGACAAAATATTTAACCCAAACACGCCCTAACATAAAAAGGTGCACTCGATTTTATCTTTTCGATGCAATTGTTACCCATTTTTTTGAATTTTTTCTTGAGTGACATAATGGAACGGCAGAAACGAAAATTAAGGAACAAATAGATTGATATGTTCTCCGTCCGTGGTAATAAAAAAAATAAAAATCGGAGGTTATGCATTTTTTAGATCCGACTGAATAGACACCCATGTCGTCGACTTGATATCTAATTGTTCTGCTTAATTATGTAACAGATAAATTGAAAACTTATGCAAATTGTGTAATTATGATAAAATACTTCGTAATTTAGCCGAAAACTGTCATTTTATTGGTTTCTATTGACTTTTAAAAATTTTGTTACTATAGTAAACATTACAGTAAGCATTTATCGCCTTCTCTAACAAAGAGCTTCAATTCTTTTGTTCTATTTCAACTGGGTTTCCGCCTGTTAATTGCGATGCTTAAAAGGTAAAAAAAAAAACGACTGACCGACCCTTCCTTTTTTTCAAGTTTGTAGCGGGAAACATTGATAAATATTTTTTTGGGGCTAATATATTTTTCTGTCGAAACATTTTGCATTGACTAAATATGAGTCTTTGTTAACTTTTTGATTAAAAAAAAGGTTTTTTTTTGTTGAGGGATTATGAATACATGTATTGTAAACATGCGAATTTTGCATTTTTTTATGAGTAGGATTCTCAAAAAAATATATGGCCTTTTCCAGCATTTTTGTTTTTATGAGTTGTCGATCTATTAGTACAAGTTGTTTTTTAACGTTTTTTTGGGTAAACTTTCCTATGCATTTAAAAGATTGTAAAGAGGTAAATACTCAAATATTTCATAAATAGGTTTGTGCATGAATCTCAAAGTAGTTGATCTATTGGCATTTTCATTATGTTTCATATAATTGGTCCAGTCAAATCTGAAAACTATCACATATTTAAAGTAAAAAATTGCCTGTAAAAAAAATTATCAATGATTGTGAGTCCTGATCTGCAGTTGTCAACAAACAATGACCTATATATTAACCGGAATGAAATAAGATCATTGATGTAAATAAATATTAGCGATTTAACTGTTGACTGCATATGAAGAGGTAAGCTTTAACTTCGTCGGTGACAGGATGATTTTTAATTGGTTATTGACTTTTATCGATTTAGATTAAACAGTTAGTTACAAAATACTTTTAAAGCTGTCATTTTAAACACAGCGGGACTCTGTAAATAATGATGGTAAAAGTTAATACTGAAAGCTTAGATACAAATAATTTTCTGTTTATTTAATTCTTGATTTAATAACAACACACTGGGAATTCGTCTACGAATATTTTCATTAAAGTATGAGAATATAATATGTTTACCATGCACTTTTGACGTTTCGATTTCAAAATCTCAAAATGTAATACACATGATGTATCATTATTTACATTCTGATCTCATAATAGTTTTATTCTCATCATTAAGACTGTTTGTATAATTGTTTTTTTTTAGATTGCAATTAATTAAACAATTTAAGGAATGACTGTAATATCTTTTCTGTCTATGAAGAAATAACATCAAAAATGTGGTGCACACTCGTGGCATTGTTAGTTTGTATTAAGGATGTTCGCTCCTCTTGTTTTTGAATTTTTGCCCGATATTCGGAATCCTCTGTTTTATCCATGTAGTGCCATTAAAAATTTTGCCCACTAACCCCTACTTTTCTTTCCAAAATTGAAAATCTTATAAAATCCTTGTTCTTTTTTCATCGTTTTTTTTAAAGAAAAAAGGTGCTAATGTTAAATGTATGAAAATCTAGAGAGAATTATTACCCGCCAAATTTTCAATGGTTTATTTCTCGAAAACAAGCAAACGGACCCTTCATTTTTTTTCAGCTTTTTTAGTGTTTTTTATTTATATACTATCAATCTATAACAGTCTTTTAAAAAGCTTGTTATTTTGAAACAGAGTAGCGAACATCCTTAATTCGCCATATGAGTTTTATTATCCTTTGGAATCTTTCGCCTCTCCCCCCTGTTTATGAGTTTTGCATTAGAATAGGAATAACAGTATTATACTAGTATTTGAAGATTTGTCACCGTCAATTTTGGATTTCTTAAATATGACACACGGAAACCAATTACAACCACTTAATTTAATGCTTCTGACTTGGGATAGGCACATTTAGAATTTGGCGTGATTAAACAGAGGCTATACAATATCTGACGTCAATATAAATAGTTCCGTTCCGTCAAATTAATATATTAAAAAGGTAACGTTATGGTACCCAGTTTACACCTATTTTGACAGTTTTTTTTTTTCACTTTAAATTATGCAAGAAACAGATAAAAGATTACATTTTGTATTTACTTTGAAGCCGTATCCTTCTTTTACTATATAGTTCCACCCATTTGATTTTAAATCCAAACTGAAACGTGAAAAAAATTATTTGTAGGACCTCCAAACCACCCAAGATTCTGTAATGAGGAATTATTTATCCACTTGGTTTTTTAAACAATTTTACAATAGTCCATGCTATTTATGCATTTTGGTATGAAAAGGATGTCTGTAACATTCAGTTTCTCATTTTTGATAGTCGACTTTTTGTAGACTAAGTATGAAAGATCATGCAACCGTTTCCGCAAATTTTACTTTTTTCACTGGAGACTTCATTTGTTGATATATAACGTAACCATTTTGTGGATCTTTAATATTATGTAGCTATGTTGAAATGTTGACGTGTATAAATGATATAAATACGAATTGTTTAGTCTCGAAGAAAAAATATAATAAGATATCCGTCGCTTTGCATGCGAATTGGGTGCAAATCGGGTACTTGGTGCAATTTGGGTAATGTGACGTATGCTTTCGATACGGTAACAGACTAAATATTTTCTTTGTCCTTCTTAAATATCTAATATCATAGAATGACTTTTTGTAGTTATAGGGATTAAAAATTTACAAAATCCATAATATAAGTCTTAACTATTCCCCGTGTATATAATAGAAGCCTTCAAAATAAACGAAATGCCAAAATAAAGGAGTCGGACCAATCGATAGTTTTCCCACTTGAAATGAAAACTTTGAAAAGATATTTTTCTGTAACGGGCACTCATCGATCATGTTCACGTATAATTAATTGTTTGTATTGTGTTTACATTTAAACTTGTAAAATATTTATAAAATAAGATAAATAGGTCACGATTTTTTTCTATCTAAAAATACCTTATGAATAGCTACTTTTGAAACAAACCAAAACATGGTTTTACATTTCCCTGTCAGTTCAGAAGAGAAAACAAAAACAGGTATGGCAATTGGCGTTTAAAATATATATAAATGTACTTTTCATTTCATTAACCATGATATGTACTTATTTTAGTGAATCATTGTTCGTTCGAGTACAATTCATCAAACCAATTACTTATATTACGTCTTGGATTTAGTTTAACAACATTTTTTGAATTTGCAAATTTTTGTCGTTCCCTATATTTGCTTTGCTTATTCAACTAGCTGCCGATACAACAATGATAACACTACGGCCAGTGCCCTCGGTCATTCGACAAACTGCATTCCAATCAGGCCATTATACACCATACACTTTCCTCATGCAATCCATTTCCCCTATTTACCATACACTGTCCCCATGTGTACCGATTCCCCATACACCATACACTTTCCTCATGTAATCCGATTCCCTATATACCATATACTGTCCCCATGTATTCCGATTGCCCATACATCATACACTTTCCCCAATAAATTCCCACTCCCCATACACTTTTCCCATGCAATCCGATTTAAGATACATTGTCCCCATGTATTTCGATTCCCCTTTCACCACAAACTTTCTCCCATATATTCCCATTTCCCATACACCAAACACTTTCCCATGCATTCCAATTCCCCATACACTTTCCCATGCATTCCGATTCCCCATACACTTTCCCATGCATTCCGATTCCCCATACACCATGCATACACTTTCCCCATGCATTTCGATTTTCCATACATCATACACTGTCCCATGCATTCCGATTCCCAATACACCATACAGTTTCCCATGCATTCCGATTCCCCATACACCATACACTTTCCCCATGCATTCCGATTCCCTATCCACCATACACTTCCCCATGCATTCCGATTCCCCATACACTTTCCCATACACTATACACTTTCCCATGCATTCTGATTCCCCATACACCATACACTTTCCCCATGCATTCCGATTCCCCATACACCATACACTTTCCCATGCATTCTGATTCCCCATACACCATACACTTTCTCCATGCATTCCGATTTCCCATACACCATACACTTTCCCCATGCATTCCGATTCCCCATACACCATACACTTTCCCCATGCATTCCGATTCCCCATACACCATACACATTCCCCATGCATTCCGATTCCCCATCCATCAAACGCTTTCCCATGCATTCCGATTTCCCATACACCATACAGTTTCCCATGCATTCCGATTCCCCATACAACATACACTTTCCACATGCATTCCGATTCCCCTTTCACCATACTTTCCTATGCATTCCGATTCCCATGTACCATACACTTTCCCCATGCAATCCGATTCCCCATACACTTTCCCCATGCATCCGATTCCCCATACACTTTCCCATACACTATACACTTTCCCATGCATTCTGATTCCCCATACATCATACACTTACCCCATGCATTCCGAATCCCCATACCCCATACACTTTCCCCATGCAATCTGATTCCCTACACACTTTCCCCATGCATTCTGATTCCACATACACTTTCCCATACACTATACACTTTCCCATATACATTTTCTTGTCCCATTTGAATCATACAAGTTTTGCACCGTTCAAAACTACCCACAATGTTACATGCTTGTTTGTTATTCTACTGACTGAGTATAGTTACGATTGATAACTTGAATAACAAAAAATGCAAAAAGGACCATCCCAAAGATTAGTTTCTAAAAAACACTTAACTCAATAATACTGGTATAAATAGAAAAAAAAACATGCTAAATATATATGTTCACAATTTCTGGGACTGAGCTCACATTTAAAATTAATAGAAATCATTTGATTTTGTTTCAAACAGCCAAGCACCCTTATGAATATTACACTAAGATATTAACCTTTTATATTTGTACAGAATTGAATTAACAAAATTGAAAATATTTAAGAAACTTTTTAGTCTAATACATTGGCATTCTTTAAAAAGGACAAAACGTAAACTTTAATATACTTGATAAATTCAGATATGGGGTGTAACTCAGTGAGGCGACTGTAATAAAAAAAAACCCGTACAATGCTTTGATGGCTGAATTTGGGAAAAAAATATGGTCGTGATCGACGCAGCATGGCAGAATGATGTCAACCTTAAAAATATCCCAGACTACATCGTTCCATCCGTGGTGTTTTAACTACCAACACATGTTAAACGGTGTTGTATGGTGGCCAGTTAAGGCCATTTCGCGTTTTCGCGTTTTTGCCCTATAGAATATAACGCGAAAACGCGAAATGGCCTTAACCGGCCACCATAGTTTTGTCATATAGTATATTTGTTAATCAATTTTTAAAAGTGCAAGAAAAATATGTTGATAAGATCTTGTTAATTTTCAAGGAGCAAGTTTTTTAGGAGAATCTTTCATGAACTTATTGTTGTGAGTAGTATGTAACAATGTTTGCTTCATTTTTCAATCAATTCATTGCTTACTGTTTCTCGTCAAGTGGCAAATATTTCATAAACAATACAACATAACAATTCAGTCAAAATATCTTGTTTTGTAGTCCGTTAATATAACATCACTGCAGAATTGTTTAGTAAGACTTCAGGTACTGAAAAAATCAGCCAATTCACTATGATGCCGTGATAGGAATTCCACCCAAGTTCGAAACAGTGTAATTAGAAGTTACACTTAATATTTCCTCCTACAAACCGGACACGTATTATTTTAATTAGCGGAATGTAACATTTTGAACTACGGATATTGATTTTGTTCAGTGTTTAATGAGATCAAGTTATGATTTATAAAGATCTGCGTTCTTTTGGTCTGTCTGAATGTTAACTTGTTCGCTGTGAAGTTATACTACCTTGGACAGCAAAAAGTCTTTGCTAATGGGTATTACAAAACTGCTTTGCAACGCCTATCTGTTGGAGCTTTTTAGTTCGATTGCTATTTCATGTAACCTTTCGAGCTTTGCCATTATGAGAGAAATTTTCAGTTTTATTACAAAACTACTTTACAAATCCCCTCTGTTGGAGTTTTTAAGTTCGATATGCTATTCCATGTGACCTTTCGGGCTTTGCAATTATGAGAGAAACTTTCAGTTTTATCACAAAACTGCTTTACAAAGCCCCTCCTTCCTACGTTAAAGTACCAAACGAAGCTGTGCTTAATAAAATTACGTTCAGGCATGTTCTCCTTTCTTGAATTAAGTTGAATTAAATGAATCGTGAATTAAGTTTAATTGACAAAAATTTCGTGAAACGATGAATATAAATCATCTCTATAATTATTATCAATTGGAATATCAATTCCAAAATTGAAAAGATTTTCATTGAAATCCTGTTTCTCTTTTTTATACGTTTTTGTAACAAATACGTAGATGATCTTTATTCGAGTTGGTCCTAACAACATGAAACTTGAACTCCAAGTAAATAAAATATTGAAAATCATTATATTTCATACAAAAATGTATACAAATTATTTGTATTAAATGTATATAAAATATTAAATATGCAATGTCCATAGCGTGTTAAAATTACATTTTAACAACAGGGTTTTGAATATTAATGAAAATGTAGGTTTAAACTTGCAAATTTATCAAAATATTAAAAATAGCTATTAATAATAACATCAGAAATTTTGGATAGTTACTGAATAAGAATTCAATGAAGATTTTCTAAAATAACACTACGGTTTTCGGTCTGCGAACGAATGTCGTAAAAACATGTAATTTAAGATTTGACTTCATCAATTTGTATGATCTTCACATTCAACTTTTAACCAAATCGACTAGATAAGGAGACAAAACTGAACTGACTGGATATGTATCCAACTGGATGAAAGTACAATTTCAGAGGTACATTACACGTAAAATGCTTGTTTTTTCGACGCCATTCCCGTTCAAAAGTTTAATGTTTTCTCTGGAACTATAGCTTCATAGATGTAAATGTAAACAAACAGTATTCAACTGGAAATAGTAAACCATTAGTAAGATTGTAATCACTTAACTTTTGTATAGCGTGGCAACGAGGCTACTCTACCACCGGAAGTTACAATCGTTGAAGTACAAAAATGTAGCGTGTATGAAAGAAAAAAGCAACATGCGGAAATATTGATTTTGTGCGATTTCTATTAAGAAGATACATAAAAGCATTCATTGGAAAACTCAATTATTACATTAAAATTCAATATGGATTAAAATAATTTTCTATGCGAATAGCTCGAAATTGCTACACCAGAAGCATTCTTAGTTCTATCTCTCATTAGCTTTCTAAATGTACATGGGATAAGGTTATATCAGTTATATATTTAAAATTGACTTTAAAATTAAATACAATTTAATTACTTTCTCGCTAGCAGTTTTGTTACAAGGAATTTGAAAATAACATCAAACCAACAGATAAATTGGCTGTACGATAAAGATACTGTTAAAAAAAAACTATACAATTTTTAAATATTAACATTTGCTTTTGATATCACATGTGCTGACGCAGCGACCAGCGCATTAGAATTACGAGAACGATTGGACAAAATGTCTGGATTTCCGAAAGAACCAATCAATTTGATTCCAATATCTTTACACGATGAGGATAAAATATCGATAATGAGGTAGGAATACATTTATGTTTTTTATTTTCCAAATTTGTGGGAGAATGTTACATTTGTGCAATTCTAGGGATTCCAGTAAGGGTTACATGAGAGGTTTTTTATTTGGGAGAATGTTACATTTGTGCACTTCTAGGGATTCCAGTAAGGGTTACGTGAGAGGTATAATAATCATTTGTTTCATGCGGCCGTACACACACCCCTTTTTGTGTTATTATTATTGTTTCTAGGTACTGGCTACGATTACCTGCAAAAAGTAACCAAAGAAATAGTTATTGTTATTTGTCAGGAAATACGTTTCGGCAATTAGTCTCGGAAATTAACAATAATTGTAGCCAGTGCCTTGTTTTTAAGGGGAGACTCAGAGGTTGTTTTTTTTTTCGAAAGGAATGGACTTCTTTGTCAATTATTTTTTCGGTGGTTGAAATGAAAGCAAATACAGAGTGATTGCTGTTCAATATACAGTT